CGATGGCCGCCCGCCGGGTGGTGGTTGACAGCGGGGCGGGACCGGCGGGTTTCCCGCCCGCGGCCGGGCCCTCTCAGCACCCCGGGCTCAGGGCGTGAGGCGGGCCCGAGGGCGCTGGTCCCGGCTGAGCACCCGCCGCCTCCTGAGCGCCCAGTGCTGACGCTGAGACGGGACGAGCCGGTCAGACACGGTGAGGAAACGCTCGTCCCGCCGACGCGCTGATCCGTCCGCGTGCCGGGCCCCGCCACGGTGGTGCGGCGTGGTGCCGGTGGGCGCCGTGAGCCGCATCTTTAGGTCTCTTTCCCGTCGCTGCGCCTCTTGCTCCCTTCACCGTGCCGGTGGTGTGGGTGCTGGGGAGAGGTGGGGCAGAAGAGGTCCGCAGCTATCCCGGACAGCAGGCGAGAAGGCAGAGCCTGCCTTCGGGGGTGCGCCTGGCTCCGCAGGCACGTGTGCTCCGGCACCTCGCTCCACGCGCCGCCTCCGACCATTTTCCACTGTGTCTCCGTGAGGCGGCCCGAGAGCCCAGAGTCGCTTCTGGCATAAATTAGCGTGGGCCTGGGAGGGATGTCCTCAGGCAGCAGCTTCTCGGCAGCTGCCAGAGCGAGGAGCGCCAGAACACGCTGTGCTCTGGTCACCTTCCCCGCCTGCGCTTGGGGCTGCAGGCAGCAGCGCTCGCCCGTTGAGGCTCCAGCGCCGGAACAGTTCCCCCTGCGGCTGCTGGTGCTGGAGGTGGTGAGGGAGGGACGATGCCCTTAGACCTCCTGCCGGAATTCCTTAGGAGGACCTTTGCAAGTCATCATGTGGGCTAAGCAGAAAGCCACTGGTGAATCGGATGCAGGCCGAGTCCGCCATGTGGCAGCAGAGTGGGCTAATTAGTCAAATGGCAGAGATGTGGTGAAACTGGCAGAGCTAATTAGGCAGCACTTACGGTGAGGTTGATACATGTCAGCAATTAACAGTCAGATGGCACAGAAGGTTCAAAGGACTGCAAAAGCAAAAGAACGTGCAGACTGTGTGTTTGAGAGAGGACAGCAGCGGTGAAGGTTTCAGGCAGAGCTCGAAGGTAGCAAGAGGTGTGCTATGGCTGGGATCGGTCATTTCTAGCTTGCTGGGCTTTCACTGGAAAGCTGTGTAATTTACTGTTTTACCCGTTAGTAGGAGCAGCAACCTCAAGTCACTTCTCTGGTGCCAGGTTCTGTTAGGGTTTGTCCCCCTCCCCCATTTTTTTTTAAATTTTTTTATGTGAACCTGCCTCACTGGAGGGAAGGAAAGTCCACAGGCAGAGACTGCTTTTTATGTGTTTAAGGAACACATCCAGCTTTCACAATACAGCTGCAGAGCATGTGCTGAATCAATCTCAGTGTGACTTGAGAAGCTGCAGCTTTTAAAGACAGTGTCATCTCTATGAAAGTAGCTAATTTCTCATTGTCCCAACTTCAGAGAAATTGGGAATGGTTTTTAGATGGTAGATTTTATTCTGTTCCACACCAGGACAATTCACTGTCTTTTTTAACCTGGAGTTTAAAACAGAGAGACGTGATGTTCTCCCATCTGGTTAAATTAAAATAGCATTGGTGTGAGATCAAGCTTACATTGTAAACTAAACAGGAGCTGGAATTTGGTCAGAACTTATTGCTCCTACGAGTTTTTGCTGTGGTAAGGAAAGGTAGCAGTGCCTGCAAAAACAGAAGCCCTGTTCTCTCCCCACACAGAGAACCTCAGCTGCTAGTTTTTAAAGATGTGAAGTCTGTCAAGGACTTGGCATCTTTTGGATAAAAGATGTTGTGCTCAGGGTTGCATCCAGTTTAAAAATGTAGTGCAAATTACTACTGTAGATCAGTCTGCCTGTAGTAGGTCCTAAAAAAATGGATCAGTCCAGTTGGAAACTAGCCAGCAGGCAACCCAAGTTTGGTCACGTTAAGTGAGATAATTTTTTAACAGAAGGTGGAAATTAAACACTTACTCAAGTCTTGTGGTCTTGACTTGGCAGGATTTTCTTACTGTGTCCATAGTATTATGGCTTTCTCTTTCTCTAGGTGTAGTGACACCAAGGGGGCGGGGTGGGAGGCTTGTGGAAAAAGGCATGGTTAGAAAGATTTTAGCTAATTACAGTGGACTTGGGGGCAGTAGGGCAGCCAGCCAGCAGAGGCCTTTGTAAATTGTAGAGTGCGGGAATAGGAAGTACAAACCAGTTTTAGAGCAGGGATTTTGCTCAGGAGGCTACAAGGGAGCACAGTTAGCTGCAGCCTCTGCCAGCAAAAGGGGAGGAGGCAGGAGCAGTCACATCTGATAGTGGTGGCCTGGAAATGGGGGCAGCACTGAATGGGAATTGGGGTGTTGGGTGTAAGCAGCAGCCTCTGCCTTGCCTGTGGCTCTTGAAAGAGGATTGCTGGTACTGGGTCTGCAGAGCTCTGCTTTCTCTTAAGCTAGGCTGCCCTGGGGGGCTGAGCGGGGTACTGCTGTTATTATCTGCACACTGTCATTTGGAGAGGGTGGCGGGGTAATTGCACATTTAATTCTGGCAGCTGTAGTGGAACAGCGCTCAGTAGCCCAGGAGTGTTTATGGGAGCCCACCAAGGACCAGAGTGTGAAAACCCTTGTGCATGGAGGGTTGCAATGGAGGGAATCATGCTCAGGAGCCCAAGGGCTGAAAATCAGACCCTCCCCCCAACTTTTTTCATTGCTTGAGTAAGCACCTTGGGGTAGAGGAGATTTAGAAAAAGAAAGGGTTAAGAGATGATTTTCCGAGAGTCAGGTGGGCATTTTTGGCAGGTGTCTCATATTAAGCTCCATGCTCAAACAGTACAGTTTTTCTGAGCTATTCTAGCTCTTGGTGCAGCAGGTGTAATTCCTGCAGTACTCAGTAAAAGGCCAACTAGCCATCACAACCATGAATGCTCTCTTCTTACCAATGGTTGAGTTCAGCAGTCATAGGGTATCTTGAAAATTATCCTTCCATGGTTGTCTTTCTGTTTTCATATTTCATTGTGGGTGTATGTGTTGTGTTTAGTGACTGGAAGCTGAAGATGTGAGGTTTTTTTCAATAAGATTGCTCAAATTCCATTTGCAGTGCAGTCACCAACACGACATTGGAGGATCAGCGCTCTGTGCTTGTACGCAAAGTGGAGAGGAATGGGAAGCTGAGGTCCTCCCTGTACTCTGGACTTGTAGCGTAGGGCAGAAGCTCACATTCAGAACTCTCCATTGCCTCTGAGCATAGCAGCAGCGTTGTCTTACCAAATGTGGAAACGATTATACCACTTCTTGTCAAGACAATATAGCAATGAGCTTCTGAAGGCAACGGGCCTCCCATTGGCACATGCCAAGTACGTAGGTACTCCTAGTCCAGGCCAGTGCAGTGGAGCAGGTGGTGCTTGCAACATGCAACCAGCCCTGTTTAGGTGCAGCATGCCTGTCTTCCAGGAAAAAGAAAATCCTTTATTCTCTTTCTCTGAGAATTTCTTTGATTCCCTTGTTTCTGGTCCCAAAAGCCAACGTTGCCTTCTGGGGGAGGAGGGAGATAAAGCATATGGGTAAACATGGAAAGCTAAACTTGTAAACAGTTTGTTCTAGATTTTTGTTTAGCTGTTGGTGCAGCCAGTGTGTGATGCATGGGAAACACATGTGGATGGAACATCTCAAAAGAAGGTCTGGAGCCACTATGCTTTCACAGGGGCCAGAGATTTCGCATTGTCTTGCAGGCGGGTACAACATTCACCACCTTTGAAGGTGGAGAATTCTGTTGGTCTTTTTGTGCTGTCTTTAGACTGCTTGTGTTACTGAAGGAACTAGTCATCAATAGTTTTGGTGCTTGAGGCTTCCAGTAGTTTCAGGAAACGCAGGTTGCTTGAAGGGCCTTCTAGTCTGTGCAAATCTGTAGGCTCAATGTGACCTCTCATTTTTTTTACATGTTGTGTAATGATGAGGATCGTTTAAGTATTTCTCTAAGCAAACACGTGACTGCCTGTATTTCAGAGCTGGTCCATTGCATTAAAAGGACTTTGATCTGGTCTGCAGCTCTTACCTTGTGCAACCTCCTTACTCATGACAGCCTTCTACAAGGAATTACTAGGACATACATCATATACCAGGACACAGTATAGATTTTTAAAGTTAGTTGATAAATAGCCACTTTTGTTTTCTCCATGTACAGCTTAGCTTGTGTAAGTGTAGGGAGAGATAAAACTTTGGCTGAATGGTGTTGGGGGTATGTGTTAAGAGTCTTCAGAAAAAGTTTTATGGCAGATAGGGCTCAAACTGAATGATGTCAAAGAAGTCCCGTTTCTTGTGTGGGACTCAGTCATAAAAAGTGCAAATTCCATGAAGTTAGTATTGCAAAATAAGTGATATCACATTATATGGTCAGCTCTATTGAATGAAGCAGAGATGGGGCGTCTTTGGCAGCATGCAGTCTGCTCTACAGAAAGCAGCTGTATTCTTTCCTCCACGCCCTGGGAATAGGTTGCAGCATATGTTTCACAGTGCAACTAGCCAGCCCTGGCCATCCACAGAGAGGGAACGAAAAGCTCTTGGGTTTTCAGCCCTTTTGGGTGGGAATTTTTAACACGATGCTGTTATGTTAGAGATTGCCTCATTGGAAAGGCTTGGTTTGAGATGTTTTGCGTCTTTTCTGAACTGTTCAGTCGTTACAGGATAGATGCCAATTCACACAGACTCATGTGAAGTTTGGGCTGCAGCTGTAAGCTGTGGAGAAAACTTTCCTGAGATTGAACACGTCACCAGTACTTTCTGAAGATGTTTCTCTCTGTGTCTTGCTATCATGTTCAGTATAGCTTGTGGAGGTTTTTGAATGTATTAGTTAATGTGTTAACCCTAAAGCATTATACGTAAGTACAAATAACTAAAACAGTAATGTAAAAAATGCTGAAATGGGTATGTGCAATACAAGTTCCATACTTATAACACAGATATCTATTAACTCTCTGTTTCCCTGTTCCTTAAAGCAGTTCAACTGTAATCTTGGACAGGAAAAAACTATCAGTTCAGGTTACTTGTCCAAGTAAAGAACCCAAGTAGCATATTTTGACAGCAGTATCAGGAAACTCAGAATTTTGTGATAAAAATTTTTCAGTGGCAGTGTTTGACAAACTGTTGCTGAAAGTTATTTCGTACATTGGCTAGCTAGTACATATGTGTAACTATATGGAAGAGGGACTATCTATAAACCCTTTATGGTAGTTGAAGTTTATGGGACTTGTAATGCCTTTGTTAGTGTACTTTTGAAATTTTCAGGTTATTTACAGGTTCAACATGTGTAATTAAGAACTGGAATGAAAATGAAGATACACTATTATGAACTTGCAATATATTGTTATGTGCATGAGATATATGTGGAGAACTTTTCAGCCGTTTGAAGGTGGAGCCTGTAAAGGAAGTGAGAAGCAAACCCAAAGGGAACTGACATGTCTGAGTATCACTTTGGACTCAGTAACCTGAAACTCATTATGAATCTGTATTTGATAGGGACACATTGTCATTATAACAAATTTTCACCATAAAATATTACATGGAGAAATCTTGAAAGCAAGAAGTCATCTGGCGACCTACTTGGAGATGGGAAGTATCATAGTGTGGCCATTGATTCACCATCAAAATTGATGAGAAGTTTGTTATGGGAACCCCTTCTGACATGAAACGGGTTTTTAGCTGTTGCTAAATGAGAGGGTAGTTTGTGTTATGGACATAAAACCACCCAGAAGCTGAATCTGAACTTGCAACACCACAATAGGAAAACTCATACTCATAATACTGCTACCACTGTATGGGAATAAATTTAAAATGGCAGAAGATAAATATATTAAGAATTATTCAGTGTCCTGCTGAACATCTTTTTTTAAGTAGATGACTCTTTCTTATCTCAATGACAAATATTGGTGTACTGAGTTACAGCACTTGATAAGGATATAACGCAGTACTAACCACTTTGTTGTTCTTTATTTGTAGGTCAAGATGTTGTTAAGTATAAAAAGTATCTTATGGATGTACTCTACGTTAGTTATAACATATATGCTACCTAAAGGTAAGTCTGATATACACAGAGCAATTTATTAAAATTCATTTTAGTAGGTAGGGTATTTCACAGGACTCAGGAAAAAACAACATTTCATTTTCTGGTCTTGCCTCTGCCACTTCTTTTGCTGCACTGTGTAACTAACTTTGTTTCTGCATTCTCCTCATTGTCTTACTGATTTATATAGAAAACTCTTGGTTGGTGGGCATGTTTTTGACAAGGTTTTTACATGCCTGTCTGATGTCTCCTGAGGTTTGTAAGTGCCATTACTACAATTCAAGTAATAATAAAGAAAATGCCATAGAATTATGTTGTATAAAGCAAAATAGATTGCCTTCTCCAAATATTCAAGAATGCATTTTAATCCTTTAACCTGTGCTTCTGAAATGTTGGACCTGTTGGCCAGGTATGTCTCACACCTTCATTTTCCATGATCCACCAAGGAGGTCCTTGCAGTAGATGAGGTGAGGGCTGACAGGGGCGGCTAATTTTAGTGAAGGGCAGACACCTTCCATGGGAGCTTCAGCCTGGTGCCACAGAAGGAGCAGCGAGCAGTGCTGGCAGCGTGGGAGCAGGAGCAGGTTCCTGGGACAGACCTCGCCAGGCTGCAGAAGTGGTGAATAAAATGGGGGAGTTTTTTGGCTACAGGAATACTGGTTTGGCATACCTCCCAGTCAGATCCTAATGCATGTGCTCATGTATGTCATGCCACACAGCCTTTTTGGTCTGTAGGTCACAGCTCGCACCCTCTGTGTACAGGGTGAAAAGTGCCATGTGCAAGTGGGATACAGGAGAAACTACTAGCCCGTTTCTGCTTTGCTCTGTGATCTGTCAAGGAGCCGTGGAGGATATGCCTCTGGAGTGGGCAGTCTGGCTGCCAGCCTCCTGTTGTGGGGGGACTGCCATGAGCAAACCTGGTGGCAGGTCCCTTGGCTGCTGGACTCTGGAGCAAGGACATGTAAGGGCAGCTGCAGGTCTTCGGTTTGGGTGATTACATGCTAACACTAAAGTATGTATTCATGTGTGGTTGCCATGGTTATTTGAAAATTTGAATGAAGTCTTTAGTAAGGAAAAGGTCCCTACAGCTGCTGCAGGCTCACAAAATTGGGATAATAGCTTTCCCAAGCCTCAAAGCAAGATTTTTCTTGTTGGGTTTTTTTTTTTTTTCCTTCTTCTTTTCTTTCCAGGAATTCCTCAAACTGATTTTAGCCTTTGAGAAAATCAAATGTACTCTTTTTTTTTTTCCCCAGCTTGAGCACTGTTGCTAGCAAAGTCTTTAGGTAGTCCTGTCAGATAAAGGAAAAGACTGTTGTGTTTAGAGGATCCAACTAAAAAAAAGTGTTTTTTTGATTCAAGCAAGCTGAGAGCACCATCCTTTACTATTTCCTAGCATCACTTCCTTCTTAAAGCTGGTTTTGTTTTTCCGTTCTTCATTAAACACACAACAGGCCAGGATGATTAGACTTGTCCTCAGGGACAACAGACTCAAAGCTTCAGGCAGGGGGCAAGCCACTAAAACTGAGCTTCCATTTTGTTACTTGTGGAGGGCTGGGACTGTTTTGGTTATTCAATGTCATGCTTTTTTTCCTCCCCCCAGTTTTTTACTTAGTAAAATGTCTGTAAGTGGAGACTGATGTATGGATCTTGGATCCACAGCTGACGTTTAATAATTTGTTCACATGAAGCATTTGGAGAGGCAAAGTAAGTGATTATCAGAAGAGGTCTTGGACTTGCAATGTATGTCTGCATGATGAACTTGGAAGTTTTTAGTTGATAAGCTACTTATACTTAGAGGAGCCTCATAAGAAAGATAAAGAATTTTTACCCGAGCAGGACAAGGGGCAACAGTTTTAAACTGAACGAGAGTAGGTTTAGATTGGACATAAGGAAGACATTTTTTACAGTAAGGGTGGTGAGACACTGGAACAGGTCACACAACAGAAGAGAAGTTGTGGATGCCGCCTCCCTGGAAGTCTTCAAAGTCAGGTTGGATGAGGCATTCAGCAACCTGATATGGTGGAAGATGTCCCTGCCCATGGCAGCGTGGTTGGACTAGACAATCTTTGATTCAACCAAACCACTCCGTGATTCTAAGTTATAGCTTTCTTTAAGGCAGAAATGTCTGTTTTAAGATACAGGAAAAGGGAAGAGCTGCTAGCAATAATTGGTCAGCTTCAAAATGGAGTGAACGGTAGTACATTACTCACATGAGGAGAGGTCTGAAGTTAAGATTTTACCTGCAAATCAGCCTTAGGATGGAGAACATGTAAGGAGGTACAATAATTAAGGCAAAGGAATCTGACAAGAAATTTAAACCTAGTGTTTCTGTTATGACCCACTGAAAGCCTCTTCATGTTTACTTAGGGCATAGTTCCATGGTCAGTCTAATCACACAAACGTTTTAGCACTAGATGGGATAGTCCTGCCCCTTTTCAATCTCCTGGTGCTAGTTTTCGTGCTTTCCTTTGTGCTGACGCTAGTATTTATGTGGGTATATGTCCAGCTGAATCAGGTAAATGACTTGTTTGAAATAGCATATGGCATTTTTTGCAGGTTATTTTTCCAATGGATCAGACCTTTGATCTGACCCACTGCCTTGTGCAAATGCTAGTGCTGGCAGAATTCAGGGATTGGGTGTGCCTCACTGGAAGTGGGGAGAAGTGGGATGGACCCTTAGAGTAGCAGAATATGGGATGGCACCTTTAGATGTCCCCTGACTTACTCTACCTTTTATCACCTCTTAAATGGCTCATGTTGTCTCCAGAGTAGAATTTTCAGTACTTAAGCAAGTTCTGTATGAACATACCAGTAAGGGCTTCTCAGGAATATAGACCAGGGTCTGACTGGTCCTTATTTGCCTGAATCTTTTGGAAGGAATTTAGAAAGACCCTTATGTTCCTAAAATACTGTGAAAATGTGGGTTTTATTTTTTAAGTTGGGAGCCATACTTTTGCCATAGAGAGTCTTAAACTTGTTCAGAGTATAGCCATGGTGAAGAAGATAAAGATGAAAAACTTTTTTCATGAATTGATCCAAAAGAGTCTGCGGGATCAACTCATGTCTTTCTGTTTTGTAGAAATGTCAGTCAGTTTGTGTAATAACATTTTTGAGGATGAGTGTTACAAGTTTACAGACAGTCTTTACAAGTACGGCTGTTTCTTTTGTTTAAAAAAATACTCTAAAAATAAAATACACCTCTGCATTTTGAAGAGTTAAACATTTTATGTTTCAACTTTTTAAATCCTGAATTTAAATATAAACTTGAAGCTTTGAAGTCTTTCCTGAAACACAAATTCCTGTGCTTCCTTTCCCACAATGGATTGGATCACTCCATATGATTTAAGTAAATTTAATTAAATAGTGACTTCAATATGATGCATTGCAATATCTCCTTTAAAAAGATCTCAGGCAAAATTGTTCTGAAAGTTTAAAATTTTTCTTTTGAGAGTAATATGGAAAATTTGTCAAAATCGGCAGTTATTTTAAAAGTGTAAATCCTGGAATATGTGAGTCTTAATGTTAAGTCAGAACAAAAACGAAGCTTAATTTAGAGCACAGCAAGTTACAAGCATGCAAAATTTTATGTGTTCACCACTGACCATTATTCCCGTCTTTGTTTTCTCTTCCACTCTCATCTTTGTTGAATGGTCACATTCATGAATACCTAGCATGGCGTGCTTGTTAGATTTTATGTAACAACAAAAGTATTTTTCCTTTGAGGGCAAATTGAGAATGGTCTTGTATGGCTTCTTTAAGACTTTAAATTCTCAGAAGATGTGTGTCAGGAAGGCAGCAGGAAATATGGTGTAAGCTTCTGGGGTCACGGGAGTGCCCCTCTCCGAGACCTTTGCTGTTTGCTCTGGTACATGTGAAGGATTAATGACAGAAGTTCACGAGCAAGGTTTACGCCTACTGCTAGTGTGGCATTTACTCAGTTTGAGCTAGCTGGTGTTAGGATATTGTAGTATACAGGCTGGACATTGTGATTATGATCAATATTGGAGTTTATCTTACCCATTTTAAGTGACTATCTCTCATGCCACGTGTGGAATATGCTTTCATGAAAGCCCTGTAATCCAGAAGCCAGTAGAAATCCCCTAGATTGCAGTGTGTGATACAGAACAAATATATGTTCTTTCAAAGGTATACAAATAGTATACCAGTTTAAACATCAGTTTATCTGATCATATTTATGTTCTATATGTGCTATAAAATACATGTGTGCATGCCTATGATGTCTGTATATGTTGTGTTGAGTTCTGCAGCTGAGACTTACATTTGCCTGGCTTCCTGTGAGTTTGTTGTAAAATGTGAAAGTAGTTGGCTCTTCATCACTCTATGCTTGCTTCTCTTATTCTGCTTGCTCAGACCACAAATCACCTGGTAAAGAACTCAGTGAGGGCTTTTGTTGGGTCTCAGTCTGTTACCTCAGCTGTCAGTCTCATACAAGTTTGTGTAAGCAGTGCATTCATTTTAATTTATCATTATCGTCATTAAAAGTTGTATGGTTAAAGAAAATACTACTTTTAGGCTCAGTGTTAGTAGTCAGATTAACAGAACACATAATTTCATTCATCCTTTCTATAGCTGCTGGTGGGCAGGGTAGTATACCATGTGTCTAGGCAGGTTGGTGATTAAAAAACAAGATTCAAATTTTTTTGTCTCATAAATTTGGCTTAAAATAAATAGAATCTTTTATTCTTTAAGCATGTGTTTTTTGTCTGCATACTCAGTAGCAACAGTCTGTTAAGTTAAGCTTAATTATATAGCAAAATTGGTCTCTAAGCAGCGTCACTTCATGTAAGGCATTCTTTTCTTCAGACTTCTTGTCTGTTACAGACCTAGTGGCCTGGTCATTATGGTTAATGTAATACAAAAGAGCAGAATTCTGTCTTTTTTTCTTTTTTTTTTTTCTCCTCTTTAGTTTTCTATTCTAAGAGTTTTGTATCATTTACAACATAAAAAATGTACACATTCTAGGGAAAGAGACTTAGTTCACAAGCAAGAAGTTCTCTGTAGTTTGTCTCCCACTTCAACAGAAAGGTATCAAGCTATGTGTCATTGGTAGGATGAGCTGACTTTGCAGCTGAAATGGTGGACTGGGAGGACCTAGGGCAGTTTTACTGGCAAAAAAACTGTGAAAAGGCAAGCTGGAATTTTTATTTATTTTTTTTTTAAAGAAAGTATGCCACAGGCCATCATCCCCATGATACAAATGCATAGCCATAGCTTTAGGTTTGGAGAAAATAAGACATTAGTAAGTTGTGGCAAAGTCCTACCCAGTAAGTTAGACCTGACAGGACTGTCTTCTGTCAGGACATCACATGGGAGAAGTTTTCATTCTGCATTCTGTTCCTGCTACTTATTCTGATGCTGGAGATATTAAATATTTGAATAGGGGAAGACAACAAAAAATACCCAACTGCTAATGCACACTATCTACTGAGTCTGCCTGTAACCTGACAGCATTGTGCTGCTCTTAGCCCAACTTTGTAGTCCTGTCATCTTGTACAAGTCTCCCATTGACTTTGCTGGGAGTTCTGCCAAGGTATGTGTTTGTGGCCAGGTGATTTGGACTTAGTTGTGTATTTTATTTCTTTATTGTCTATGTATTTGCCCTAATAAATTAATTATGCATGAGTGATACATATTAGTTAGCAACAGAAAAAAATGCTTATATTAATCACCAACCAGCTTAGCCATTTCAAAACAATCCTCTTGTTGAAGAGTACATGATGTTACAAGTATTCTAGGTCCTACCTGACAAGGTGGAGATATGGTATAAAACAATGTTGGCAAATACCTGCTTTTCTCAGCATGTGATCCAATTTACAAAGTTATAAAATGTTTTGTTACTATTTTTGCCTGCCACATCCTTTCTAAGGAATAGTCTTATCACATACCATTGATAGTGGCTAAAGAGGAGATATAACATGGAGTATAAGCATAAGGAAAATGCTAAAGGAACAAAATAGCTATATGGATTAATAGAAGATATTGATGCTTTCTGCTCTGGCCAGTAAATTCTGCTTGACTAACTTGGACTGCTGCAGGAAATCAAGCTTTTTGGAACTGTGCAGGAATGTCACTTAATTTTGTGTTTCAGTGTCTTCTCCCCTCTTCTTCTCCCCCTCCTCTCGTCAAAACACAGAGTGCTTTTATATAGTGGTTTATAATGCTTTCTACAGTTAGATGGGCATGTTTGTAGCTACATGGTCTCCTATTCTGGGATGTAGCCCAGTTTAGAATAGATCTAGTTTGCATATGATGATGATATGTGTTTTTTTGCCAAAGGTTTCAGTCTGCTGATGTAAAGACACAAATTTTAAAGAGAGGAAATTTCCTCAGGGTTCATTGCTGATATTCCAGATCACTCATAACCAGAAACAATGTTCTCGAAAGTTTATTAAAATTCTGTCAGTCAGGATAATTATAACTAGGTCATTTTTCATTTAAGAAGTTCCTGTAATGTATATAGATGACAAGAGATCATAATAAATACTAAATATTTTGAGACTGATTTTAATCTCCCACCTGTGCAATTTGGCAGTAATTCTATCACAACTGATAGGACTGAGTATTCATTCTGTTTCTTTATCTCTAACCCACTGTAACTCAGTGAACTGTTTCAAGAAATTAAAGGGGATATAAAAGGTAGTCGTGTTTCTATAGTGTACATCTTCAGGATAAAATCAGTCCTTTCTAGTTTTTAGCAATCAATTGACTCTAGGTGAGTTGACTTTTTATGTCTTTATGGAAATTAAAAAAAAAAACAAACCTCAATGGAATTTTTTTTCCTAAAGAAATGTGTAGGCAGTCAAAACTTTTGAACTAGTCTTTAGTCTTCAATAACTTCTACAGGCTGTCTTCAAGCCTTGTGAATTCTCCAGTCTTCAGCTATAAAGCTGAATTGGACCTGTTTTTTGTCTTTCTTTGTTTTACAAATAAATTCTTGCTAGGTCCGGGCCCAAAGTGTATGAAGTGATTGGTTTCTTTGACTATTAAATGTGAGTTGTACCATCACCAGTCTCTGTTTATGAGTTAATAGAAGAATCAAAATCTCACCACATGCTTGAAGCACAGAGTAAGTATCTTGCTGGTAAATGTGCTCAGACAGCGCCGTTCCATGTGAACTTTTAAGATGAGCTTTGGGTGCAGCGCAGCTGTTTTGGCACAACGCTACCCCATTGTTATACTCTCTCTGGTCTAATCAGTTTTGATACAGTCATCTGGAGTGTATCTGCATTGTGTTCCCAAGAATTTTTAGTTAGGTAGGCATGGATGGAAAGGACCTGGGGACTTCCATTCAAACTTATGGACTGACCAAAGAAGAACCAGATTTTTTGTTTTTCTAGTTAATATTTCATTATTGAAATGCTTGGCCATCAAACTGATGATTCTTGTATCGAATGTTTTTAGATAATACCATTAATACTTTATCCTGTATGAAGTCGTCTGCCTCTGTTAAAAATAATAAACTTAATGAGCAGTTTTTCCTTTTTTTTTTTTTTTTTCCCCCCATTCTTCTTCCCCCCCGTCCCACCCCTCCCAGTCTTCTACTTTATATGGATTTATGGAGAGATAATATTTTTTATGATAGGTAAATAGCTAGATAATTTTCTTGTGGTGGTGTCTCCTGTTTCATGTATCACCCTGTTGGTGGCTAGTATTTGAGGTTATTGTATTTCTAAACATTATGAATCCTAGCTCACTTCAAATTAATGATCAGCATGTTCCACCTTTCAAAAAAAAGTTAGAGTGCAGGACAGTGAAAGAGGTAGGATAGATACTGTTGTGCATCAGCTTTTAATCTTCATTAAGCCATTACGTAGAGTGAAATAACATCACATAAAAAAATAAATCTTAACAGAAATCCTCTCTTCAGATGGTCGCTGTGTGCAGATTGGATGAACAGTAGTCAACTTTCCCCTCAGGATATTGTCAGATGGAAGCATTTCACTGTAAAGTGTTTGCAGCTGGAGATGTCACAAAAAATGATAAAGGTCCTACCATGTCAAGTCTGAGCCAAGTAGGGACTTTCTGTGTGCTTTACTTCCTTCTTGCTTTAACATCCTGAAACACTTTATTTCTGCAATGTGTTAAAGTGCCTGAGGCTACAAGGAAATAATTTTAAAAGAATGACTATTTGGGAGAATCTCACTGGAAAGGCTTTTTTTTTTAGCACATATGCAATAAAAAGAGTTAACCCTTGAAAGAATAATGGAGTAAGGGATGTCATGTATACAAAGTCATGGGCTATGTTTTACTCTTAGGACAGGAGCAAATGAACAAGCTACTGTGAGGTAAGGCAAGATGTAAGCATCAGTAGCTCCCCTGTATGCATGCTTTTGGCCAGCAATAGATGTAACTCACCATCTTTCACTCAGAGTGGTCTTCCCCCATTACATAAAAAAACATAGCTCATCTGTCAACTAAAATTTCAAAACACTTTCTGAAGAATGTCAATAACTTGGTGACTATAACAAATGGAGAAAATAAGTCAAAGAGCAGTGAATTAAACTTGCCCAAACAGAAAAGGGCTCCCTCAGCAGCCTAGGATATTGGTGCAAGCTTTTTTAGCTTATACTAATCAGTCCTTTTACAAATTATCTAAGTTTGTGGATTTCAAGTCTTGTGTGGCTGTGAATTGTTAAATAACAATGAAATGTATCTGTTTCCGATTTCACTGTTCCACTAATGTGATTCCTCCTTTCTCTTCCCCCTCCCGTCTCCCCTTTTTGTAGTTAAAGCAGAAAAAAAAATCCTGGTAAAGGGATCCCTGTCTGGAACTTCAGTCCTGCCATGCTTCTTTTCAACCACACCCACCATAGCCTCCAGCTATGCAGCTGAGTATCTGCGAATCAAATGGTCAAAGGTTGAACTGGATAAAAGTGGAAAAGATGCAAAAGAAACCACAGTCCTGGTGGCCCAAAATGGCAACATCAAAATAGGTCAAAGCTACAAAGACAGAGTGTCTGTTCCGACCCATTCAGAGGAGACCGGTGACGCTTCGCTGACTTTCTCTAAGCTGCGTGCAAGTGATGCAGGAGTATATCGCTGTGATGTTATGTACGGAGTTGAAGACACACAAGGCATTGTATCACTGGCTGTTGAGGGTAAGGATTTATCCATTTCATTTGTAATCAACAGTGATTCCAGTTAAAACAGTAAAAGTTAGTAATTAACGTATAACTAGAGAGTGTTTAAAGGAGTATCTTCAGCAATTTAGCCTTCCTTAACTGTTCACTGTCCCCCTGCTCTTTCTGTCTTTTATTTATTCTTATGAATCTTTTCCAATCCATAGCACTCTCATTTCTCACTTCCACCTTTGGGGAGCCTACTCTTGATTCCTGGAACAAACGCTGTTTGCTTATTCCCGGAGCAGTTTTATACTTTGATTGGGTTTATCTCCTTTGCAAGACAAGATCCTACTACTATTTTTTTTTTTTTTTAAATACCTCTAAAGTTTTATCAAACCAGCCCCTTTGAAACATGATTCATATTGTACTAATACATCTGTCTGAAAATTTCAGTGTCCTTACAAGAAGACAGACTTGGCAGGCAGAAGCGGTTTCTTTTTAGTTGTTTGCGTAGAATGGAAAGAAGCAACTGCCTTTCTTCTGGAGCCGTGCCTGGCCTATCTTGCCACTTCATGTACAAAATCATGATGCCAACAAAACTGGGAGCCCCTCTTTCTATGATAGGAACATCAAGCACAAAGGAAGAGTTTCTTTTGTCCCAGTAATAAAGGTTGGATATGTAGGAGGAATCCCATCTGGCAGAATCTGCAGGAAAACAAGTAGGGAGGTGGCTGCTAATGTTCTTCTATGTGGAGGATCCAGGGCTAAAATTTTGCTTGCCATCACTATAAGGAAATAGCTTTCAAAACTTTGAGATGGAGAAGTGTACATGTAGAGACGTAGAAGACACAGGACTTTCAAAAGCATGTAAGTGGCAAAAGGAGAATCTGATCTGTAGATGGTTTTCTCCTTATAGCCTGCTTATACAGCATGAGAAGTACAGTGTAGAGACCGCTTCAGAGCCTGGTGCTGTATAGTCCTGTCAGTTTGGCACTGACCCTGAGCTAACAAATTGTGCTGAAAGGCAGGACACATTAGCCCAAGACCTGTGCCATGTAAATGCAGATTCTGGACCCAAATTACTCAGCATGCTTAGAACAGCGCTGCTGTGTGGATGTATCAGCTCACGTGAGCCTTAGTTTGGACTGTGCCTTGCGCTCCTTTGTGCTTAGGTGTTTTTTGAAAGTTTGGTATTTACTCAAATGACTGAATCCCAAAACAAACATCAATATCTGCTGCTGGAAATTATGGCTTTGGCTAAGAGGTTTTTTGTGAGCTTAATACTACATTGTTCTTCCGATATGCTTAACCTAACTTGAACATTCTTTTGGCATTGATTCAATGAAAGGTTTTGAAGGTGTGGTCTTAATTTGGAAATACAATAAATCAGTGTAACCATTAATGTCTGTAGAACTTCATAAACTGTTTAGTCCTTAAGGCAAAACCAAAAGAAATCCTGGTTTGAACATTACTTTTCAGTAACTAGTGTACCTGGCATTCCCTATTCCTTTTCAAGTGCTCCCTTGACTACATATCTATATCCAGGAGCAGCAGATGTTTACTACAATAAAATACTTTAGCAAAACTTTAGCTTCTGTAGTTAGTGCTTTTCCAAATCACTGCAATGAGAAGAACTGATCAGTTTTGGTTTTTTAATTGAAAGAAGACTTCACACACTCCATTATCTTTCTGCAACCGTTCTTCCCCATGATTGCTTTAATGTCAAAGTTTCAGGAGGGGAAAAAGCCAGATCTTGACCCAAATGGAAAACAGCATTGTTAGATTGTCATTTGTGCGCTCCATTCCTCATTTTCTACATTAAGTAAACACATGCCATTTAACAGACACATAAGGATTTCATGTGAGTGTTGCTGCTCACATCTTCTGCCCTCATTTTGGTAAGGCTTTATATTTTTTTTTTGTGATTTCAGCTTTTATTTAAAAAAACAAACCCCACAACATTAATCTCAAATGTAATTTATTTCTATTAAGTTGTCTTTTTGAATCTGCACCCCAAAAGCGATAACAATTGCAGAGACATGATCTTCTGTACACTCTCTTTGTGCATTCATCTCTGCCTGTTGTTAGTGTGGTGTGGGGAGATCTTTCCACATTAATTGCAGTAACTTCAGATCTGACAGCGAGCATGGTTCAGCACTGTGCTTTGGTCAGCTCTCCCGTGTGGAGCTGGAGCTGGTGCTTACAAGGCGACTCGTGAAGTCCTGGTAAAATTATCACCAGTTTTGCTATTCTGCACATTTTATGCTCACCACAAGTGAAACAAAATGCATTTGTGTAGCACTTTTTCTCTGAGGACTGAGCAGGCGTGTGTTGCTTTAGCTTTTCAGTGAATTAAAAGTATGGAGAGAAACTGGTAACTCTAGCTCAGGTAGTACTTGCTTGATCGTATAGCTTAACCCTTATGTGAAGCAGAATAATTTTATTAAAGATAGGAAGCTTCTGCAAAATTCCCTGTTTGGGGCAATTTAGGTGTGGGAAGAAATGGTACTAATGCTTTGGAAGGCAACATTCATCTGTTTCTTTAAGTGCCAATGCTGTTATGTGTGTTGAGTCTAATTTAATAAATTTCTCAGAAATGGCCAAATGAAGTAGGCCAAAACTTATTTGTATCATTCCGCTGAAGCAGATGAAATGACTCTTTTGTTATTAAGATAACTTTATGGTGTTTGTATGCTTGTTTGTTTGAGTATCTTTAAACCTATGCAGGACTTGAGTTCTAGATATTTTCAGGATTTCCATTTGTTTTACAGACATTCCCTCATTTGAAACTTTCAAACACAAAGCACATTATAGCATCAATAAAGCCAGGTAGATAAGCTTAGACAGCTGTGCTGTTTGTTTTTCAAATGAACCTTTTCAAGTAAGATAATAGATAACTGGGAGAGTTAACTTGAATAAGAAAAAAAATACTGTAACTGCTGTTTCTATCCTTTCAGTTAGGTATGTTAGGAGTATAAAACTGCTATTGAACCCATTGTGATCAAATGAATGTATCCTACCAGTGGTGGAATGTTGCCTGCCCTGCTTGTTAATTGCAACCACAGAGCTGTCCTTGAGGCAGGGGACAGCGCCAGTGCCAACAGGTCTGCCAGTTCGCACAGAGGGGCGGTTTCGTCACACTAGATACCTCCTTTCCTGTTACTAATTGCAGGAAATGTTTTCCTTACACCCTGGTTGCTGGTATAATTACATCAACGCCTAAGACAGGTATATTTTATGTTCAAAATGGATCTAACAGTGTTTCAGTGCTATGTTCTTCAACTCCTTACAGGAAGAGAAATATGCAGAACAAGTAATTCATATTCATTTTTTGTTCTATGTGTTGTCTTCTCTGCTGCCTCTGCATGACCCTCTGAAATTTCCCCCTTTTCTCGGGAGCAACTCTTCCTTTGTCAGCTGTTGTAATTTCATCTTTCTACACAGTGTTTTGAACTTTTCTTCTGACCTTTCTTGATGTTATTAAACCCACAAGTCAAACTGTCTCACGTTAGGAGTCCTTGGCCTCACAGTTTTTGAATGCTTAATATTATTTTATTTTTATTCTTAGCCATTTCCTTGCCACTGTTGTGTGGTGCTATCATATTGGGCAGTAAAAAGAACATGTTATGACCAAGTGTAATCAAAAAGAAAAAATCTGAACAAACCATTCATTTGAGCTGATTTTTTGTTATTCTCCTTGGAAATGATTTGATTTAAAGGAATCAAAGTGGCAAATGGGATCCTTCCAGTTCTGTTGCTCTTTTTTCATATCTTGGCGGTGAATATTTTTTATCAATAGTGAAAGCACTTTATCCTTTTCTTACTGACGTTGTGGGAGACCACTGTTTTCTTAGGCCTCATTTTGGTAGTTTCTGTTTGATTCTGCTGCAAGTGTGAGACACTTTTTAGTCTTTTTAGTTTGGTTTTGGTTTTGGTTTTTTTTTGGTTGGTTTTTTAAAGCCAATAAAGAAAATCCTAGGCTTAAAACACTGACCTTGTTAATGGAAGGAAACAGCAATTAGGGAAGCAGAGTAGATGGTATTTCACATTTTCATTTTTATGCAAACTCTTCTTTCTTGCAGGCATTATAATGATAATAAATGGGAGTTGATTCCGATGTGGGAACGCTGCCACTCAATTGTGCTGTTAGCCCTGAGAGATTGTGTGTTGACAGCCTAACTGATTTATTCTCTCCACAGCCAGAACTCCCCTTCATTATCTCTTAAGTATGGCATTTGAAGAGATGCTTTTATTTAATCTTTTAGACTTACCTGTCTTGAAACCGTACCACCTCTTGATGTTGAACTTCACCGCTTCCTTGCTAACTAAATTAACATGGGCTGCTGCATTTATTGTGTTTTACTCTCCTGCATCACGGATCCCAAGGAACCTCCGACTTCTGTAGCTGGAAACAAAAGAGCACAATGGGTAATGGCCATCAAAGGATGGAAATTTATTTCTGGGTGAGAAAAACCCAGGGTCTGCGTGCAATGCGCATCAGGAACAGGGAAGCAAATGTTCTGATCAAGCTGCCGTGTTCCTCATGTAGGGACTGGGAAAATGGCAGCTGATGGACAGGCTGGTGGAATTTCTGCATCAGGCTGGGTAGAGGACTTTCAGTGGGAGAGCTCTGAGCCCAGGAAGTGCATGACATGTCTTCACATGCAGGATGGTAGAGCCGAGGCCAGTACTAATGGCTAAACTGGTTTTGGGATGTTGGTCATCCCCCAGTATGAGGACGTTTCTGAGAAGCTGTGCATTTTCTTTTTAAAGTAATTTTAATTTAAGTAGCTGTGCCTTGGCCTCATTGAACACTTGTATGACCTAGTACATTGCTGTGCAGAGATAATGGGATGGGGCAAGTGGTCCCAATGTGTATTCAGAAATTAATACAGACGTAGTAAAGAAGTCCTCCCCCCGAGAAAAATACAGGTAAATCTCCACATCAATCACTTTCCTTATCTGGACCAACTTGTTCAGAGGAGCTTGTGTACACCTGCATGCAACTGTGTTGGTCTGTGAGGATGGACGCAAAGATTTTGCACGGGGGAGCAACGTGTGAATTAGTGCAAGAAGTCTCTGTCCCTGGAGAGCAGGAGGCACTGGGACTGACAGAGCAGAGGGGTTGGAACGCACTTTCTCTCCCCATGATGAGAAGCTCTGTGAGGCTTTTGGCAAGGGAGCTCCTGCTGATGCAAGGCGAGCCTGTGCTTCTCAGGTTGCTAAAGCCTGAGACAGGGGTCAGAAGATGGGTGCAGAACCTCGAATGAGGAACTCAAATGAATTATTCATGCAGGAAGCTGAAAATACTGCCCTATTCCTTCCTTTCATACAGTGCTCAGTCCTGTAACCTCTATTTTGGCATGCATTTGTAATGTAAATTGTCTTCTGCATTAAAGGCAAGGAGGATCACCAAACTGCATGGTAGCTTTGGCAGTGGGTTGGGGGTTGTTTCAGGGGTCTGCACCACAGTGGCTACGGTTGGAACATAAAAATTAACAGAGTAACAACCACTGCCATCATAATCTTTTCTCTTTAGATATTCTTTGCTGTGTGAGGCAACTTCTGAAATTCAGGCTTTATGTGACTCCAGAAGTGCATGTTGCAGCAGTGTAAGCTCACTAGTGAAATTGAACTGTAATCTATTAGTGCTACCAGGATCCCTTCCCCTTCAGGTCCAGGAGGTTTTGCTGCATGATACCCTGGCAGGTAATAAAGCAAAATTGCAACCCAAATATGTGAAACCACAGAACTAGGCTCTTACCCGTGGAAGCCCCACTTTGTTAAAAGTGAAATACTTCATATTTTCATTTTCTGGTCTAAGACAGAGATAAATGATTAAAAGACATTCTCTCTTGCTCAGACAGAAGTGACTTTTAGATGCTACAAATTACTTTCCTGTGAGTGCTCTTTTTTGCAGACGCTGCTACTCCTTCCTGTAATTACACTGACTTTGTTTGCCAGATGTTCAATGACAACGTTATACTGCTGTAGTCTGTTTTCCAGTTGCTTTATTTGTTCCTAGGACAACTCCTTTCTTGCCTTTTCTTTCAGAAAGGAAATAGACAAAGGGAAAAAAATCCTTTACAAATGTTTTAAAGTGCAAAAACTCGGACAATGGATTTTGTCACTCTCTCTCTGTCTAACTGAAACAATGAAAGTCCTGCACTTTAATCTTCTTAGCCCCAGGGGGTCTTCTAATTATTGCAGCTGTTGCACAGGCTTATACATACTGACGTCCTCCTTCCCATTCATCTTGCAGGCTCTTTTATGTCCATTAGCTCCTCACTGGAAATGGAAGAGCCTTCAAATCTAAGAATAGGTGAAGTTTACCTTTTGGATCAGGGTGAGGAGAACAAAGCATTCTCCAAGTTCCTTTGCAGGATTTACAAATGACCAAAGGCTCTTCTCAGCACTGCAAAAGCTACTTTAAATTGGCAGTGATATTAACTCTTTAGTCCTGCCTTATTCAGGTATCACAGGGATCCCAAACATATGCCAACTAGGAAGGGCAGGGCAGTGGGTGCTTCCAACATGGAAGAAATGAGAGGCGAGAGAGATGGTCGTGGAGAGTACAGTCATACATTTAAGCAATAGGAAGCTTTAAAAAAGGTACAAGTTCAGAGAAATACATTGCCATCTCCTGCTAAGTTAATGAATATTTTTGTGCTTGTACTGAGCAGCAGTGCTCTTGGGCCCAGCTGAAGTCATACAGCATCAGTTAAGCAAACTTGGGAAAAAAAAAAAAACCCAAAAAAAAAAAAAGGCAATTAATCTAAATTCATATAAAATACATTTTTATAAGATTAAAATAACAATCGAATGAACAAATTGCCTCACATACTTGGGCATTTCTGGTTTGACCCTGAGTTATAGAGTCAGTGTCAAATATTGTATACTACAGAAACACCAATGCTACCAAAAAAAAAGGTTTAAAATGTTTGTATATATTCAGCAATAACAGGCAGTAAAGCCTGATGCCCAGCTTGTGAATATTATTATGGGTTCATACTTATGATTCAGGGTAAATGTTTTATCTGCTTCTGTTGTGAGCTCTATAGAACTTGACTATTTCTTATTTCTAGACCCAGAACACCATATAGGTCATTTGAACTCATGTTTTTATTTACTACTGTACCACTGAATATAGTAATGCTCATTTATACCAGCAGGTAACTTGCTCACAGTGTCAACCAATGTTACTAAATTCTGAATGTATTAAAATAAGTATTTTAATGCATACCACAGCTTAAAAAAAAAAAAATCTCCAAATCATATTTTTTGTTATTTTAAGCTTTTAAATTCCAAATATGATTAGTTGCTGTTGCCTAACTCTTTTTATGTTGTGAGGTAGTGCTCTGTGTTCGACATGTGGTAAAGGACTGTGTTGTTTAGGGTACACAAAGCCAAAGTATGCACACACACAAAAATATATATAAATATATACATATATGCATAAGTAAAGTTTTGCGCATCTTAAGACAGTGCAAATGGTATGTAAAGTTGCCCTAACCAGCCAATGGAGGATGCCCTATAACAGAGAAACTGCAGGGATACAGGAGCTAGTAAAGCTATCTCTCTGACGTTCCCTTTCAATCTCTCCTGGTACAGATAGTTCACAATAGTAAGAAAATGTGCTTGAGGCTGTGCTTCAGCACTGAGGCTGTCTGGAGTGGTGTGGCCCCCATCTGTGCTGTTAGGCTCCTTTGGCTTCCAGCACAGGATGAAGATGCCCACTGGAAATTGTCTCTGCTCTTTGCTAGCTCCTGAAGTCTGCCCAGAAATTGTTTGGAAGCCTGTTATGGGGCCTGGGCCAAATAATGCTGTGAACTAATCTAACAATTCAACAGTCTTGATGACTGAATTGCAGGCACCTGGAATATGTAATTTAGTAATATAAATATAGCCATAATTTTTCAGGGTGTATTCTTCACTTGTCACTGTTGCCAAACAATGCTTGGGTCCATTTGAAGTGAAATTACGTTGTTTGGAAGAAGCACTGGTTTCAGTCAGTGGTTCTGAAAAGACATTTTGTGGGGATGCTAGTGGTCTGTAAGCTTCCAGTTAGTGGCTGCAGCTGGTGTGTGACTCCATATTAAATGATGAAATATGAGGATTCCCAGTGTTTCCTCTTCTATTTCCTGTTTCTCTGCCAGTAGCTTTGAAAAAATTGGTGTCTGATGATTGAGGTTTAACCTACCTATGAGTAGTTTTCAGATAATGTATTCTATTTTAATTTCAGAAAACTTCTTAGTGAGTCACAACAAGAAGAAAAATGTGTATTTTTAATTTATTGGCCTTATCCATACCTTTGATAAGTGGCAAAATTTTACTCAATTTGTCTGCATGTTGCTGAATTATATGTACATAGAAAACAGAATGTGGCTTCTAGATGGATCTTGTCTTAACCAAAACCATCTTAACTTGAGGTCTTCCTCTCCAAACGTCTGACGTGCTCAAGTAACTTTTGAAATTGTCAAGATTCTTTCCAGAACCAGAAAGGCCCCAAATAAAAGCAGGCCTTGTTTTGTCTGTATCATTTTTAGTGCGTGCAGGAAAACATGGTTATGAAAAATTGACCAAGAGCCATATATTTATAAATGTTATATTTGTAGTAAGCTTTGATTCATAGGAACAGACATCAAGGCCATCACCAATTGACAAATCTGTATCAAAAGCACATTTTTTTTTGGTCACATGTCTCACTGCAGCTAGCAGACCTCAAGGACTCAAGGGATCCCCCATTCACTGTTGGCACTTCTGCGTGCAGTTACTGCAGCTGGCTGCTTTGGAAAGTCTATTTTTAAGCCTACTTTTTCCCAGGATTAGATGTGCTTAGTCTTGACTGGTCATGCAGTTTGACTCATGGACAATAAGCCAACATGTCAGGTGGCACTTTTAGCATAAGCAACCTTACCTGCAATGCAATTAGCTGACCAGCACTTGGAACTGGAAGAATCTGGGTAACTATGTGATATCATTGACTTATTTTAGCATTCATTCTTCCTTTTGATCATGATTTTCTGTAATACAGCAGTGAAAATGCATATTTGGTTTAATGACTTTTTTCTGTGTCTACAGTGCATATAATTTCACCAACTATTAATAACATAAGGTGTTGTACAAGTACTCGTAGCAGCCACTAGAGGGGGGGAAATAATTTATGTGATAGCATATCTCTTAGCCTTTTACTACTATTTTTTTTACCCATCTGTTTTCAGCATTGTAATGATACGTAGGTGAAGTTACGGTATGATGACGGTTGCAGAAATGATGCAAAATGTGTCACTAATGTAAGCTTTTTGTCATTTCAGGTGTTGTATTTCACTACCGTGCAGCAACCAGCAGGTATACTCTGAATTTTACACAAGCTCAGCAGACTTGTCTGGACAATGGTGCTGTCATAGCAAGCCCAGAACAACTGAAAGCAGCCTATGAAGATGGATTTGAGCAATGTGATGCTGGCTGGTTGTCTGACCAGACTGTTAGGTAAGACGTTTAAAAGGCCTCTTGACACAGTTTCCCAAAATTAACATGCTTAGCCTGTACAGACTTAAAATGCTGATTTATCATAATAATAAATATGAGCATGCTGCATTTCAGGTATCCAATTAGACATCCAAGAATTGGCTGCTTTGGAGATAAAATGGGAAAGAAAGGAGTCAGAACATATGGGCGCCGTTTTCCTAATGAAACTTATGATGTGTACTGCTATGTGGAACACATGGAAGGTAAGATAGGCCCGTATTTAGTCTGCACTGCAAAATTTAAAAATTGACTGGAGATTCCAATGTGGAAAGGCAAAGAAATAGGAAATTCTGTGTAAAATAAGTTTTGGCTGTTTTGAATCTGAAGAGAATTGCTGAATGAAGTGAACCTATAGTTTGTGGTCTAGCAGGCTTTAATTAAAGGCAAATATGGAGTCTACAAAGAGACAGTCAGGTTTAAAGCTGCTATAGTTAGTGCAGTAGATCTCACAAAAGTTGCAGTTGAAGCATTTTATTTTTTGAATGTTATAAAAGGATTTTCAAAGAAACACATTTAATGTTTGAGAAACTGTATGTACTATATATATAAAAAGATGGATATAGTACATGTGCTAACAGTATTATAGTTCATAAAGTATGTAATTAAGGTTTTTACATGTCCATGGCATAAAATTAGACAGATATTTAATTACAATCCAAGTTTAATAATATCTTTTTGAAAAGGGACATCTCAGCATCAAAAAGAAACAAACAAGCAAGAACTTTCCAGTGAGGAATCTGGATCTTCTTTAATAAAATCCTTTGCAATTCCATAGCACAGCTATAGTCTTTGCAAAAGCTGCTAATTAAATGGCTCTAATGAAGCAGAGTGATTATGATTCTGCCACTTGGTGACTGTGAACCATGGATCATATTGTGAGCCCCATGATACCTTGTGATCCATGGTTAGGCTCTGTGATTGGTCTTTATTCAACAAAGAGTTTGATGGTAAAAAGAAAAATATGGCAAATTTTTCTGTGATTGGGCAGTTCTAGCATGCACAAATCTCCATATTACAGGTGTGATATTGTAATCATTTCTTACGATCTCTCTTCTGAAAGTGAATTTAATGATATCCTTTCAGTGGGCCATAGATATGTTCCACATGCCAGATATCCTTATGCTTAGACATTATTGTGACTAGTTAAGTATGTATACTTAAAATATAAATGCAGAAATAGCCTTTCCTGTCCTGTAGCCTTTTTTTTTTTTTTTTGGCTTTTTGCTGGTTATGCACATGGGAACTTCATTCTGGTACAGAAATACTTTGCAACCAGAACCAAAGTACATTTTCCATTTATTGCAGTGGTCTAAGTGTGTCACACTGCTTCTGTCTTGACAGGTTTTTATTCCATACCAGTTTCACTGTTCCTTTCTAAAAAAATACTTGTAGTTCCTAATTAAATATCTTTCGGGCTGATCCTTGACTGATATGCATTTAGTTTAGTGCTCTTGAACTCAGCAGAACAATAAGCAGCCATGGCTCTGAGCAAGCCTGCTTTTGTATGTGTACGTATGTTTGTAACAAGCAATTGCAAAATTAAGGTGCTCAGTGTTTGTTTGTATTCTATTTTGGAGCAGAAATAAATCAGATCATGCAAAGTTTTGTCCTGCTCATGACAAAGATTTTTAGTCACTGAAATCAGTAAGCGTTTTTCTCTAACTTTTAATAGCTAAGGATCTGCCCCATATTGTGTTCACCTTGGAGAGTTATAAAATACAAGTGATACAAGACTTGCAAAGACTCAAAAAAAAAAAAAAAGCTTGGGAACTCTGATAATTAAGTGATGGAATTTTGTTAGTGCTCAACATTGTCTTAATTTCACTTATGTTCCATCTGTCAGTGAGCAGCACATCTGAACACCTAGAGTTCATAACATGGATCCTCCATCAATCCTTTATGGGATTGAATTCTGAATCAAGGCTTTCAAATTCAGTTTGCGTCTTTCCTAGCTTACAAAAAAGAAATTTTGACTAATCTGTATCATTCCTGGATGTTCCTTTCCCTCTTAAGAACAGAGAAAGGTAACTAATATGGAGAAGCTTATCCTGGATGCATATGAGCCAGAAATTTCTCAGGGTCAAATATTCTCACTGAGCTTTTAAAAATAAAAATTAAAAAAAGTAAAAACTGAAGCCTGTTTCACTGAGGCTAATGTCCTGTGCTCAAAACAACCTGGAACGAGGCCATGAGCTTCAAAGAGGTTGCAGTGACTGTGCAGTCTTCTTTGATGAAGATGCACATGCATAGGTTTTCAATTTCTCATGAACGTTAATTAATTCTTCTTTGTTACAAAATTTCATTTGCCAAGATTTATGAGCTGGCTTTACTCTATGGATAGCTATACATTTCTGTCCTATTGGTGTGGATGATGTTCTCTTTAAACATACGCATGTCTTTGTGGCCTGTCGGCTGGACTGCAGTAATATGATCTGCTTGGATATGAATCCTTCGGCATTTAAGAAACATAAGCTAGCACAGAATATTGGGGAGATTTGGTCTATCAACCCAGGTATCAATAAGCACGTTCGTTTTACCTTCTTCCTTGCATAGTAGCTTCCTGTGGAAACTGGTTAAAGCAAATGCACAGTTTCAACCTTTATTGTAAAGGCTCCATAGCCTGGGACAAAGGTTAAAGACCTGCAAGGGCAAGACCTACAAGGGCTTGTAGGTCTGACTTGAAGACTGTGATTGACCACTTCACCACTGGGATCCACTGAAACTCTCCAAGATTGTTACAAAGCCCGTTGTATGGTAACAAAATGCTCATAGAAATGGGTACAGGTTCAGAATGAAACTCTGCAGGAGGCAAAGATCCCTGTGAGTTTCATTATCGTCCTTCCCAAAGGCAAAGTGTGTTTGACCTAGCCTTTATCTAAATGATTGTCAGAATATGATTTATAAAAATGTTCTAGAATCTTTTTGCCCAAATTAGGGAAAGAGCAGTCCATCTTAGGCTAGTACATACTGTATGCTTTTTCGGCACTGAAGAGGGTGTGAGAAAACAGTGTGATAAATGACGGCTGCATGTTTTGTTATGTTATTAGATAATGCCATTGCTACTAGGAGCACTTTAATGTGGTCGTAAGCTGAATTTGAGAAGAGAGGAGAATTCCTTTTACAGTTTTACCATTGACTTCAAGAAGACAGTGTCAGGTCAACACACAGGGAGACTCATCCTTAAGCTATTTACGTAGCAGGAAGGTCCTGTATGTGCTGTGAAGAGGTAACTGCTGTGAATGAGATAATTGCCAATTAGCTGTACAGCCTCAACCTGCTGCATAGGGATTTTTTTTTTCTGATTATATTGATCAATTTTAATGCCAGATTATTATAATAGTTAACCAAAGATACTTCCCCCACCTCCTTTTTTCGTGGGTTTTTTTTTTTCCCCCCCCACCTATTTTCACACAGTTTTCAAAGAACTGGAGTCTGAAAATAACAACTAGGAGTCAGAAGGAGTGATGGTTTTGTGGATACGGGGTATAGGTATGGTATAGACATGTTATACTGACGTGCAGAGGAGTTAATTTATTCTGTTTGGATGAAGAGAAACAGATGCCTGTTAGGAAGACACAATACCACATTATGATATGGTGCAGGATAAATTATTCTTCAGTGCCTTCACAGAAACTTGAGCCTCTAAGCCAGACTTCCTTTTTAAGATGGGGCTAAGGAGCCAAGATGGCTTTGTCTATATAACAGACAGTTACTCATAGTTTCTATAAGAACAAAGGTTAATTTCAAATGCAGAGCTTGTTTGAAGTTACATAGCATCAATGAGATTACACTTTGGAACCACTCACACACAGAAGACAGAAAATTAGATAAAATGTCAGTGGAAGTTATTAGAAAGCAAACATAGCAGTAAACTAGATCCTGTCTTTTGTTTGCTGTATTGCAACATGTTAATAGGTTGGTAGAAGACTTACAGTCAAAGGTTTAAGGTTATGCCAGATTTCTGATTGCCCTGTCTACCACAGGCTGATTCTGCAAGGAACAACCTTTCTCTTGTAATGACCACTTTCAACGCTTCATTAATAACAAAGAACATTCATGGCACTTAGTATACTGTAGAACTGTGCTTAAACATGATTTTTTCCATGTGAATTTGTAAGTTCATATCTGCATAGCCTATTCTGATTCAATGCCAGATCTATTAGACATACTTACACTAAATAGGTCCTTATTTGGAGAGCCTGGGTCAGTGGGATAACTATTCATGGAATAAGATGGTACTTGATTAATGATATTAAAATCTGGGCCATAATGAGAATGTCATCATGGAAGTCATTGAACAGTTATTGGTCTGTTGGACACTATTAGTGTGTTAGCCCAGAAGGCCATAAATGGTGGTAGGAGTTCTTGCAATACATTTTAAATTAAATGTGTATTGAATTTACAGTACTAATTTTAGTACTTGCACTGAGAATTTGTAGGAGCAACACCATTTCAGTTTTCTTCCTTTCTGGTCATATGAAATCACAAAGTTAGCCAGAAACATGGATTTCTCCCTGAAACACAAACTATTAGCTTAAATTAAAACCAGTTGTCTAGGCTAACTCTTACCATTTCCTTGTTCTGAGGAAAGCCAGAGAGATTAAAGACTGCACAATAAGTTAAATATTTTGAGTTTTGCTAAAACACACAGAAGAATAATTATGGGAATGATTCAAAATTTCTGAGGTCCTAGTAATAAAAATAAGAATCTGAAGTCAAAATATCATTAAATAGGTACTGGGCATGGTCTCTTATTACAAACTGATTTACATTTCTCATATTTAATCACATATTTCACTGTACCAAGCATTAACAAAAACATTTAGGATACCTTTAACTGCAGGAGATGATTTTTATTAATAAAGAGTTTAATCTAAAGTGATTAAGCTGCAGATGTTTGGATATAACTCTGAGATTCTTTTAACACCTCCAGCTGAAGTGGTGTCTGCACCAGTGTCTTCTGTGGAATAATCCCTTGAATGGAAATGTGTGACGGGGAAGGACTGATTTCCATTCTGTCTTCAGATAAGCATGTATGTGATTGATTTGACAGTGCTGTGGTGTCAGAAATGGAGACAAAGTGAGATCTGCTCGCCAAAGCCCACTGATGAAGTGAGGGGCTGTGAGTGTGTGGTGCAGAGCCAAGGCACAAACTACTCCATGCAGCATTGTCTTCTGGCCAAAGCCAGTTAGGAGCCATATA